ACGTGTTGATGGAAAGAACTTGCATGACATCTTTTATCCTACCCTCCCATGGCAGCGGGGTCCTATTGGAAACTAAGGGATATTAAGGCCTCCTTTTAATAGAGAACCGGAACAAAGCATTAACACACGATGAATACATGAACTCCTCAAACTACGGTCATCACCGGGAGTGGTCCTGACTATTGTCACTCTGGGGTTGTCAGATCATAACACGTAGTAGGTGACTATAACTTGCAAGATCGGATCTAGAACATGGATATAATGGTGACAACATAAACGGTTCAGATCAGAAATCATGGCACCCGGGCCCAAAGTGACAAGCATTAAGCATGGCAAAGTTATAGCAACATCAATCTCAGAACATAGTGGATACTAGGGATCAAGCCCTAACAAAACTAACTAGATTACATGATGAATCTCATCCAACTCCTCACCGACTAGCGAGTCTATGAAGGAATTACTCACTCCCGGTGGGGAGCATCATGGAATTGGCAACGGAGTAGGGTTGGTGATGACGAAGATCAAAGATCCCCCTCTCCGGAGCCCCAAAAGGACTCCAGATCTGGCCTCCCGATGAAGAACAGGAAGTGACGACAGCTCCGTCTCATGGAACGCGATAATTCTTTCTCCCTGATTTTTTTATGAAAAAATAGGATTTTATAGCATAGGTTTCAGGGTGTGCAGGGCCACCAGGTGGGGACAACCCACCTAGGCGCGCCTGGAGGGGGGCGCATCATGGTGGGTTGTGCCCACCCATGTGCCCCCCTCCGGTGGTTCTTGGCTCTAGAAATTCTCATATATTGTATAAAAAATCCTCACAAAGTTTTGTTCCATTCCGAGAATTTTTATTTCTGCACAAAAAACAACACCATGGTAGTTCTGCTGAAAACGACGTCAGTCCGGGGTTAGTTTCATTCAAATCATGCAAATTAGAGTCCAAGGCAAGAGGAAAAGCGTTAGAAAAAGTAGATACGACGAAGACGTATCAGCCCCTGAGCTTGTGAGGAGTTTTGGAGTCTTGCCCCCCCTGAAAACAAATCCAGGCAGGCTCTTTTCGTGCCAAATGACATGTGCAGTCCAACTTCTTGTGACCCGACTTAAAAAATCTTCCAGTATACACGGTTCCTAATGGTATGTATTTGCGACTTCATAGCTTTCGACTTCGTGGCATCACGGCCTCACAGCTGCGCAACCTCTAGTGTTGTGTCTTTGCAGCTTCAAATCATTACTACGTCTCCAATGTATCTATAATTTTTTATTGTTCCATGTGATTATATTATTCATCTTGGATATATTATATGCATTATTATGTTTTATATGATTTTTGGGGACAAACCTATTAACCTAGTGCCAAGTGCCAGTTGTTGTTTTTCCTTGTTTTTGTCTTTTACAGAAAATCAATACCAAACGGAGTCCAAACGAAATGAAACTTTTTAAGGATTTTCTTGGACCAGAAGACACCTAGAAACCTCCGGGAGGGGGTCAAAGGGGCCACCAGTTTGTGGCAAGCTCGGGAGGCGCACCCTAGGGGGCGCCCCCGGGCTTGTGGGCCCCCTGATGCTCCTCCAACCCTAATCTCAACTCCGTAAATACCCAAATATTCCCCATATACCAGAGGGCACACCAAGAATATTTTTCCGCCGCTGCAAGCTTCTGTTCTCGTGAGATCCCATCTGGGGGCATGTTCCGGTACTCTGCCGGAGGGGGATTCAGTCACAGAGGGCCTCTACATCAACCTTGTTGCCCTTCCGATGATGTGTGAGTAGTTTACCACAGACCTACAGGTCCATAGTTAGTAACTAGATGGATTCTTCTATCTCTTTGATCTTCAATACAATGTTCTCCTCGATGTTCTTGGAGATCTATTCGATGTAATCTTCTTTTGCAGTGCGTTTGTTGAGATCTGATGAATTGTGGGTTTATGATCAGGTTATCTGTGAATACTATTTGAGTCTTCTCTGGACTTTTTTGTGCATGATTAAGATAGCTTTGTATTTCTCTCCAATCTATTGATTTGATTTGGCCAACTAGATTGGTTTTTCTTACAATGGGAGATGTGCTTTGGAATGGGTTCAATCTTGCGGTGCTCAATCCCAGTGACAGAAGGGGACAAGACACGTATTTGTATTGTTGCCATTAAGGATAAAAAGGTGGGGTTTATTCATGTTGATTGGATCTATCCCTCTACATCATGATATTGCTTAAGGCGTTACTCCGTTCTTGTTAACTTAATAGACTAGATGCATGCTGGATATCGGCCGATGTGTGGAGTAATAATAGTAGATGCAGGCAGGAGTCGGTCTACTTGTCACGGACGTGATGCCTATATTCATGATCATTGCTTTAGATGTTGTCATAATTATTCGTTTTTCTATCAGTTGCTCAACAGTAATTTGTTTACCCACCGTATGCGTTCTTTCAAGAGAGAAGCCTCTAGAGAAAACTATGCCCCGGGGTCTATTCTTATCATATTATGTTTAGATCTATAAAACCAAAACCCAAAAATACCTTGTTGCAATTTATTTACCTTTACTTTATTTTGCACTTTTATTTATCTTTTATACCTATTTGTATCAGATCTCATCCTTGTAAGTAACCGTGAAGGGATTGACAACCCATTTTTTGCGTTGGGTGCATGTATTTGTTTGTCTGTGTAGGTGCTATCATTGGAGACTTGTGTGTTCCTCCTACTGGATTGATACCTTGTTCTTAATTGAGGGAAATATTTATCTCTACTTTGCTGCATCACTCTTTCCTCTTCAAGGAAAAAACCAATGCAAGCTCAAGAAGTAGCATTTACCGCTTGTCGCAGGAACCGAGGCGCCACTGCCACTTGCCTCGTTAGGTCCCGTCATCATTGTAGTGAAGATAGGGAGATGGCCAGTCAATTTCGCTTTGCCCATGGTGTCATGATGATAATGCCTGGATCTCCGCATCCATATTTAGCGTAGTGCGAAACCGCAGAGGAAAGGGGACAAGTGTCGATTTGCCAAGGCCATCTATTGGGTTTGCCAAGAACAGAAGCACTTCACCCACTCCCCCAGTTCCTCTTGCGAATCTCACCAGTGCTTCTCCCTCCTCCTTTGGGATGCCATTGACGCAAGCTGGTGCTCGTGAGTCATTGCTTTCTTTATCTTTTCTCCACCCCAGTGATTCATCGATGGCGTGAGGCGAGGGAGGTCGCGTTTGAGGTCGTGGCCGAAGCGGGTGGTGCACTAGTAGTTCTTCTGTTGAGTCTTGGCCTTCCCATTACACAGCTTCGTGTGTGGGCTTCAGTTTTTCTACAAGTGTCAGTTGCATCATATGACACCCAACGTCATTCTACACATCGCAAACTTCATCACTCTTTCCGAGTGGAATATCGGGACGACCCAGAACTTCAAGCTATTTCACTATTACTTCCGGGTAAACCCCCAGAAGAATTGTGACAACACCTGCGACCTTGGAGGTGTCAACCTCCAGCTCCGGCCTGCATCAGATTACTTTAAGATTGCCCTACTGAAGTCGGTCCACGACTGGTTCTATTTCCCCCACCCCGACGAATTGTGGGGGCCTTACAACGACGAGGCGAAACGAGAGCAACTAAGTGAGCAACCTCCGAGATGGCTTTCCCAACAATCGAGTGATCCGTCCGGAATAGCAAGAGTTGTTGTGTCGCTAGTAGTCCAAAAGAGAAAATAGTCAAAAGTTTAAACAACTTAGTGTTACAACATTGAATTAGCTCTTTAGTAGATGTAGATATTATTTTTTTGCGGGTGAGTAGATGTACATATTGCTCGTCTCTTTTTCCTAGCTAAGGCGTTAGATTTAGAAAAGTCAATGCTTTTCTTTCCTAAAGCAAGGAATGCAATGCAAGCAAAGATAAATCAATTTATCACGGGACTTGCAAAATTACATAGATGTAAAATCATGTTATATTTTTCAGCAATATTCTCAAGGACATGTATTCTTCAGCAATGGAGAAAAACATATTATTTCCAATCCTAAAAACGAATTCAATTTTCTTCTCTAGAAATTGAATGCTTAGAAATTCTGTTAAATTATTTTGAACCAAACAGACCTTCACTAGCAATATTACTATGAAAAGGTTCATTAACTCACCCGCAAAAAAAAAAGACGAGCAATATGGTGTGGGGGCATCTCCAATGCCCGGTGCTTAGCACGGGCGCCAGGATTAGATTCCTGGCTAATAGGGCGGTTAGCACTTGAATCCCGGCTTTAGGTGTGGCACCGGCGCAAGACCGTCGAGTGCTTGGGCATTTTCCTTCGTGCACGAAGCGCCCAGTAGTTCAGTTTAGGTCATGTAATTAGCGCTTGCCGTTAGAAAGTCGGGCGCTTAGACACTTTTCTAATTCTTCAACATTTATTTCTATTCTCCGTTAGCGCCTTCACAAGCGTCTAGCATTGTACTCCCTCCATTCCTAAATACTTGTCTTTCTAGTCATTTCAACAAATGACTACATACGGAGCAAAATGAGTGAATCTACACTCTAAAATATGTCTACATACATCCGTATGTAGTAGTCATTTGAAATGTTTAGAAAGACAAATATTTAGGAATGAAAGGAGTAGATGCCCTAACTCTCTTCAAGTCTTTATTTATAGCATTGGTGATTTTAGCGTTTTCTTGCCATCCATCCCGGACCGCAGCGGGGTCAGCGAGACGTGCAGACGTGCTACTCCCCTCTGCCCTCATGTGGGCCCATTGAAGTCCCTAAAACTCGCGTAGGTACAAAACACGAAGCCAGAAAGAACCAACGGGCAGGACCAGGACTCGAAAAGCCGCTGGAACCGAGGAGACAGAGCAGGGCAGGGCAGGGATTGGCGTGCCGTGTGAACTTGCAGCGGCGCGCCTGCAGCGCGCGCGCGCGTCCGCGTCAATCAAACCTCGGTCAAACTCGCCTCCCCGCCCCTAGCCGCGCGTCGCGTCGCGTCCAGTCTCTGCCTCTCGTCCGCTGCCGCGCTTTGTATTCGCTTTGGGAGCTTGGACGCGGCCTGCGATGGCGTCGGCACCGGGGCAGTGGGCGTGGATGGCCGCGGTGGCGGCGGAGGAGCTGGCGAAGCTGGAGGCCACGCACCCGGGCCGCCTCGGCCCGCTCAAGGACGAGCTCAGGCGCCTCGTCGCCGAGCCCGGCTGGGACGACGACGACGCGTTCGCGCTCGCCTGCCTGGACGGCGGCGCCCCCGCCGGCTGCTCCTCCCCCTCCTCCTCCTCCCACCCTGCTGCGCCGGCGGACCTTATGTTCACTCAAGGTACGTATACAGTGCGTCTGCGCGTTCTATGCGTGCCATCCTCCCCTGATAATAATCTTGCGCAAGCATCCGCGGTCACCATTAATGGCGGTCTTGCATTGCATGCGCAACCTGCAGAGTCCTCGACCAACAAGAGGAAGTGGTGCGGCGGCGGCGGCGCGGTCGACCGCGAGCAGGGGAAGCGCCGGAGGAAGAATGCGGCTTCCGGGGTGAAGGACCGGGCGGACATGGCCATCGACCGCGCCAAGAAGTGCCTCAAGAAGATACGCGCCATCAAGCGGAGCTTGCTTGCCTGTGTCACGGATTGAAACCAAGGAGGAAAAATCGTGCTAGCGGCTACAAGGAAGGAGAAAGGGATATGGAAGTACCGGAGATGATGGGTGGAAAACCAGGAAATGGAATTGACCTTTATCGATTGCCTTTTGGTTTATACTAGCACTATGGAAAAAAAATTATATGAGATCAGATCTCACGGTTAGCAGGTGAGACCCGTCCTATAAAATTCTTTTTCTAGCATTGTATTGTTTGCATTTTTGCGATTGGAAAGTGGCATCATTTCGTTGATAGTTTAGCTTTCCCAAAAATAAACAAAATGCTAAGTACTTTAAATTCTTGCATGAAATCATCTAACGCAATGTTTAGAGCACTGGGTTTAATTTCTCTCATGAAGTCGACTAACCGGCCTCATCTAAAGCAGCCCAAACATCCATATGTTCTTCAGCAACCCTTTTACACAGCTAAGAGCATCTCCGTCCCTTTAACAGACCCCTCAAGGCGACTTTTTCCACGCCGGCGTCGAAAACCCCCAATCATGCTCTCAAGATGTCGAAATTCGCCTGCTTGGCCGTTTTTTGAGCCCGGCGATCCCAGACCGAACCCAGCGCACTGGGGGGCGCTCGAGGGCTCCGGCGGTAGGGGAAAACACGCCTGAGTCACACCGTTAGGCGAAAAGTCAAGGCAATCATCCAAATTCACCCCCACCCCCGCCGATCCTGGCGCCGCCCATCGCCCAACACCGCTAGATAGGCCATTCCTCGCTGGAAAAGAGAGAAGGTTCCGCTGCGGCAACCTCTCCACCACCTTCCAGGCGAGTTCTCCGGCGCTCCGGCCACGCAGGGCGGCATACCGGCGGCTCTGTGCCCACCGCGTCCGTCAGGTGTTTGGCGATTTGCTTGCTCGACGATGGACTCGGACGACGATGAGGTGCTCACGGCGTTGCTGGAGGAGGAAGCTGATGCTGACATCCAGGACGAGGAGCATCTCATGGTCCTCGCCGCCCTCGTCGGCCTGCTCGCGAGCAACGAAAAGCCGCGGCGAGGTGGCTCGGCGCCAGGGCGGCTGAAAGTAAAGAACCGACATCGTCTGAAAGGCTATTGCATGCTCTACTCCGACTATTTCACCGACGGTCCATTGCACGGCGAGAAAGTATTTCGGCACCGTTATCGGATGAGCCGAAAACTTTTCTTTAGGATTATGAATTCCATCTGGGAGTTCGACAGCTACTTCAAGTGCAAGAAGAATTGCACCGGCAAACTTGGATTCACCTCAATCCAGAAAGTGCACGACAACTATGAGGATGCTTGCATACGGAGCTCCCGGTGATTCACTCGACGACTATGGGCGCATGGCCGAGTCCACGGCCACTGAGTGTTTCTACAAGTTCTGCAAGGCAGTGGTGGCGGTGTTTAGACCGCAATACTTGCGATCAACCAATGTTGAAGACACTGCTTGGATCCTAGCATAGAATGCAACAAGAGGATTTTCTGGGATGCTTGGAAGCATCGACTGCATGCATTGAAAATGGAAGAACTGTCCATTTGCTTGGCAGGGGATGTACAAAGGCACCAAAGGCGGTTGTAGTGTGGTACTTGAGGCATTGGCCACACATGACCTCTGGATTTGGCACTCCTTCTTTGGTATGCCAAGAACTCACAATGACATCAATGTGTTGCAGTGCTCCCCTGTCTTTGCTAAGCTTGTTGAAGGTCATCCTCCTCCGGTGAACTTTGAGGTCAATGGCCGGCACTACAACAAGGCATACTATCTAGTTGATGGCATCTATCCGAGAGGGTCTACATTTGTGAAGACTATCTCAAACCCTGTGCCAGGAGGCAAGAACTCTCACTTTGCGAAGGTTCAGGAGGCTTGTAGGAAGGATGTCGAGCGGGCATTTGGTATGCTCCAATCTCGATTTACCGTTGTCTGGTACCCCGTTCAGACTTGGTCGAAAGATCAAATGTGGGGATCATGACTTGTGTCATCTTGCACAATATGATCATTGAGAGCGAGCAGGAAAAGTCAGTGTTTGACACTGAACCATATTACAGGCAGGGTCCTCTTGCACAAGTTGATCACCAGCTACCGTCAACCTGGTCTTCCTTAATATGCGTCAGGAGATCCGAGACCCACAGGTGCATCAACAACAACAGCAAGATCTGGTGGAGCACCTATGGAGGCTCAAGGGCAACGCCTAGCTTGACATGTGATGAAATATGAGTTTTTATTTCTTGAACTATATAATTTGTATTGAACTATTTGATTTCTATTGATTTTTTGTGATGAACTATGTGATAAAAAATTACTTTAGTTAAATTTGCGCCAAACCACGGAGAATATGGGTCAATTTGCGCTGATATCGGGCTGTTTTTCGCCGAAACTGGGCCAAAAAGCGGGCACATTTGCGCCAAAAATGGGCCGATATCGGCGCCTGGGGGCGACCTAGGGGCGGTGGCTGGGAACCTAATCGTCCCCAGCGCCGATTTTAGCGTCGGCTCGCCCCTAGGTAGCGATTTTTAAGCCTCCTGGGGGGCAAACGGCTAGAGATGCTCTTAGAGCATCTCTAGCAGATCCCGCAACCAAGCGGACATATATACATGGGGAGGCCTTGATACGTCCGGACATCGTCGCCACGTCGGGGTGGCTCATTAGAGCAACTCCAACGGGGCGACCAAAACGGACGCGCGTTTTGTCCATTTGGGTCGGTCAGGCGGACGTGCGCGTCCGCATTTTAAAATGGGTCGGTTCGACCGCCCAACAGGGAGGCCGGCCCAAATGTGCGGGCGTGGAAATATAAACGTAATAAACACAATTAAACATAAGTGGCCGGTCAAATGCCGGCAAAAGTCCACTTAAATCTAATTAAACATTAAATAAAACATTTAAAAAGTTTGTGCCCGCCTACTGCCGCACCGCACGCTGCCCTAGACGTCGTTGGCCTTGCCCTTGCCCTTGCCGTCGACGCCGCTGTCGTCGGTGAGGTCGATGAAGACCGAAGTAAGGCCAGCCTACTTGAACGCCGCCCGGTACGCTGCCGGGGCAGCCTCCTCCGGCGTCTGCTGGGGTGGCGGCATTGCGGCCCGTCGTGCACGCTCCTCCTCCTCCTCGAGCCAGAGCGCCTCTGTGTCACGTTGGAGCATGGCCTTGTAGCGCATCTGCTCCTCACCGTCGGCCTGCTCCTGGCGGAGCCAGTGCTCCTGCCAGCGCTTGAGGTGGGCCGCCTCCTGCTCCGGCGTCGCGGCGAAGTGGATGGGAGGCGCGCTCACCCACTCACGGTACTGACCCGTCCACGAGTAGGCCTCCTCTGGCCAAATGGGTGGAGGCGGGGAGCGCTTCCGCGTTGGCTCCGGCTCCGGCTTGGGATGGACGGGCGGCGATGGTGGCGGTGGCGGCACGAAGAGCGGGGTGTGGACGGAGTCCCCCACCATCGACAGGGCATGGGCTTGCTCCAGCCCATCCCAGTGCGCGTCCTTCTCGAGGCGGCTAGCCTCTAGCACGTGCTGCAGGGCCACCTCGAGGGCGGCTTGGTACTCCGCCTCCGCCTCCATGTCCTCCGGCTCTACCTGCAGGGGCGGCGACGGGAACGGCGGCGAGACGACGTCGACACCCGAGCATCGTTGCTCCTCGGGTTCGAGGGAGAACCACGCCTCCCAGTTTGGGGGGTCGGCGGCGTACTATGGTAGCCGACGCTGCTCCGGCGTGAGCTGTGCGCGGCGCCTGCGCACCTCACCGTCGTGCGCCCGCTGGCTTCGCGGAACCGCCGGCACCGGGATCCGCAGCGGATGCAGATGCCAATGGTGCGGCAACGTGACATCGGGGTACGGCAGCGGCTGCCTGTACTCCCAGTGCCACCGCGCTTGGTGCACCCGGATGTGCAGGCGCAGGCGATCAAGGCGGAAACGCGCCATCGCCGGATGAGGAGGGGGAGCATGGGAGGACGAGGCGCCGGGGGTGCCTTTTCCCTTGCCCTTGCCATTGTTGCTGTCGAAGAGGCCCATGGGCGCGCTAGGGTTTACGGTCACCGGCGAGGAAACAAAGGGAGTGGTGGGGGCCAGATGTGGACGGGAGAAGTGGATGAGGCCGACCCTCGGCGCACGCGTGGTTAAAAAAGGACGCTTTCACTGGCTAACGCATGGGCCCGCTGTTAGTGGTCGTCATAAATAAGACGATAGGTGGCGGTTTGGTGTCCTATAGGTGGGGACGCGGCGGACGGCGAGGAGACGCTGATGGCCCACAAGTATAAGGGATCTATCATAGTCCTTTCGATAAGTAAGAGTGTCGAACCCAACGAAAAGCAGAAGGAAATGATAAGCAGTTTTCAGTAAAGTATTTTCTGCAAGCACTGAAATTATCGGTAACAGATAGTTTTGTGATAAGGTAATTTGTAACGGGTAACAAGTAATAAAAGTAAATAAGGTGCAGCAAGATGGCCCAATCCTTTTTGTTGGGGAACGTAGCAGAATTTTAAAATTTTCTACGCATCACCAAGATCAATCTATGGAGTTATCTAGCAACGAGGGAGAGGGGAGTGCATCTACATACCCTTGTAGATCGTGAGCAGAAGCGTTCAAGAGAACGGGGTTGATGGAGTCGTACTCGTCGTGATCCAAATCATCGATGACCGAGCGCCGAACGGATGGCACCTCCGCGTTCAACACACGTACGGTTGGGGAAGACGTCTCCTCCTTCTTGATCTAGCAAGGGGAAGGAGAGGTTGATGGAGATCCATCAGCACGACGGCGTGGTGGTGGAAGCAGCGGTGATCTCGGTAGGGCTTCGCCAAGCTCCAACGAGAGGGAGAGGTGTTACGAGGGGAGAGGGAGGCGCCAGGGACTTGGGTGCGGCCGCCCTCCCTCCCCCACTATATATACGGCCCCTAGGGGGGCGCCGGCCCTAGGAGATCCCATCTCCAAGGGGAGGGGGGCAGCAGCCAAGGGGGGACTTGCCCCCCAAGTCAGGTGGGGCGCCCCCCACCCCTAGGGTTTCCAACCCTAGGCGCATGGGGAGGCCCATGGGGGCGCACCAGCCCACC